CACTATTATAACATACACTTCCTGCAACCAACACAACGTGGGGCAAGGCTTGGAGCAAACACAAACGTACACAAAACACTGGCAACAGTTCAAAAAGCTTCCCAACTCCTCAGGACAACAGAGTTCAGGTCTCGGGGGTCATGAAAAAATAGTTGCTCCCTGTCTAACATACACAACTGGTGTCTGCTGTTACAGATTGTCTGTTAATGGTGTTAAGGACCAGCCATTCCATTTACAGTCTGGATTTTTTTCAAAAGATAATCAAGCCCCTGTTTTACTGAAAAAACCCAAACAACATTCCATGTGTTTTACGTAGGGGGAAAATAATGCCCTTTTCTTCTGACGTCTGATCTACTGTCAGGTCACCTGCTATAAGTGAGTGAGTGAGTGAGCGAGAATATTTCAGCAATATCATGGCAGGGGACACCAGAAATGGGCTTTACATATTCTACCTATGTGGGGAATCAAACCCTTGTCTTTGCCGCGGGATGAACACTTTAACCACTAGGCTACCCCACCACCCACCTGCTATAATTTACAGAAGACAATATTGATATGTCCAAAGAAAACAATTAGTTATTTAAATTCATTAAAAAAACCCAAATAACAACAAAATATAATGGAGCACCTGTTTATATTGGAGAAAAAATAACTGAGATCCTGAACATGAAATAAACAGCTGATCTGAAACCAAATTCCAGCCAACCGCCCCAAAAATTAAAGTCAATTAGTGGATGCTCCCACAGTTTCTGAAACGCAGTCAGATGCAGATCTTTAAAAACATTTATAAACATGTGAAAAACACAACTAGTTAACTAGTTGACTAGTTAATTGACAGTGAATCTCAAAATATTTACACTTGTGGAATATAATGCGGATAATACCACGTCACAATGCCCTGATATGACCATGATTGTAACATAAATAATTCACTTTTCAAGATATTGTTTCATTTCTTGGTATTCGAATCAATATATTATAGGAGCTCCTTATATTAACATCAGACTGTATCATCTAAATGGAGATGAGGGTTTTGGAAAGGGAAGTGAGATCTTTGTGGATAAAAAATTCTTGTTCATTAATCATTTAATTGTACTGAAAATATATCACCAATTAAGAAAGTCATGGCATTGTTTTATATACTATGTTCTTTCACATTTTAGTACATCTAGTCATTTGTAACAATTTTGAGGATACAAATTTAAGCACTTGCAGGAAATGTGACCCCTCCCTCCCCTGCCTCTGGATCAAGTCCAACACCCACCAGGTACAAGCAACTTTCTACAATGTTGTTCATATCAAATTTGAAAAAATAGGTCAGGGTTTGAAAATGAAAGTGGCGTGGTTCAAATTACCCAACCTACTCATTCTGCAAACATTAAAGTTAAACACTACCATGGGACATTTTCCATTTTTAGCCAAATATACACATGATCAAATATAGCAGAACATGATTTATTCATTTTGATTGATCAAACATTATACTATTAATGTTATTTTCAGAGCATAAGTTAACTGTTTGTAATTACCAACAGCTGAGTAAGGAGATAGGAATGTCATCTCGCTGTGCGGAAACCACAGCGTTTGTCACCAAGAATATTTGAGGTGAAAAGTGTCGGCATAAACGGAAGTTGGGTTGGATGTTTCTACATGTCTTAAATATATAACTATCATAAACAGAGCCAAGAAGCAGATATTCCATACCAACTTCCATAGCAATTTAATTATGTGAGACAAGGAGACTTATTGTATGTACATACATTCTAAGTGTGTGTGTGGGTGGTGTGTGCGTGTGCGTGCGTGCGTGCGCGCGGTAGTTGTTAGCTCAGTGGTTCAAGTGTTCCTTCATCATGCCGAAGACCCGGGTTCGATTCCCAACATGGGTACTGTGTGTGAAGCAGGTGAGTATGGTTTTACACTACTTTCAGCAACTCCAGCTCACTCACTCTAGGTGAGTCCAGGAATGAGTATGAGTTTTACACTTTTTTCAGCAATATTCCAGCAATATCACAGTGGGACTCCAGGAATGAGTGAGTGAGTTTAGTTTAGTTTTACTACAGGATTTCAGGCAATATTCCAGCAATATCACAGTGGGACTCCAGGAATATTCCAGCAATATCACAGTGGGACTCCAGGAATGAGTGAGTGAGTTTAGTTTTACACTGCTTTTAGCAATATTCCAGCAATATCACAGTGGGACTCCAGGAATGAGTGAGTGAGTTTAGTTTTACAATACAATAGCACAGTGGGATTCCAGGAAAGAGTGAGTGAGTTTAGTTTTACACCGCTTTTAGCAATATTTCAGTAATATCACTGCAGGGAACACCAGAAATGGGCTTCACACATTGTACCCATGTGGGGAATCGAACCTGGGTCTTCGGCATGACGAGCAAATGCTTTAACCACTAGGCTACCACACCCAGTTTTTTTATTCTGATATATATACTGAGTGTCAATCAATAATATTCAAGGTGTTTAATGTGTTTGAGGTGAGACACAAATTCAGAACTACCAGTCAAATCCAGACAACCCAATATCAACAGAAACAGTTGTAAGTAACCTTAAATTCTGGACCAGTGATAGCTTGCTTCAATTAAACTTGAGAGGATTGAATATATTCTGAGCATATGCACATACAAGATCAAAAAGCATCATCCATATGTGAGATAAACATACACCCAGTGACAAAGTCAAAATAGGTTAAATATAGTAAAGGAACCCCACAGCATGAAGAACCCTGAAGTCTGTAAACAGCTAGAGCTTGAAGAGGATGAGAATGTAATGTTTTACTAAATATGTAACTTCAGGTATGAGAGACTTTCAGGAACTCAGAAGTGACTGTGTTTGTCAGAAAACAACTGACCGACGCAGACTCACTGACTTCGTTGATACATGTCAGTATATCCCAATTGTGTAGACAGTCATAATGACAGTCACTGGATTGTCTGGTCCAGACTCCATTATTTACAGACAGCCATCACATTGCTGGATTATTGCTGAGTGCGGTATTAAACAACAAACATACAGACATTCTGACACATCTATTTAGAACGTTGTTGTCTTGCACGGGTCCATTGAACATGACCAGCACTTTATTAGTTAAAATAAATAAGTTTTCTTATTTGGCAAAACAAGTACTTGCCACTACTATCAGATCCCATCAGTCGCCTCTCGACATTGCATGGTCGCTTCCAACAACAGCAGGGGTGGTGGGGTAGCCTGGTGGTAAAGCGTTCGCTTGTCACGCCGAAGGCCCGGGTTCGATTCCCTACATGGGTACAATGTGTGAACCCATTTCTGGTGTCCCCCGCCGTGATATTGCTGGAATATTGCTAAAAGCACTCTAACAATGCACAATCTCACTCTAACAACAGCATGAGTTTGTTGGTGACAAACTCTAACTCACTCACTCACTCACTCACTCAAAAGTGGCATTTAACATGAAACAAATATGGATGGGGATAAATCATATGATGAAACAATATAAAAACCTTTAAATAATTGCTTCAGTGCAGTGACTCAAGATTTGAATCGGCTGGGAAAAACGGAAACCTATATTTTCAGTGGGGCGAAGAGTACCACCAGGATGCAGACATAAGGAAGAGATTTCCCAGCACTGAGACATTCACCTGCTGTTGTATTTTGTAATGAAGCGGACACTGCCATATAATGGCTATAAATACTGCTGAGCAAGGGAAAAACACAGACTGCTTATATATGAACACTTCATGAGCAGGAACCAGCTAGCAGGAGAATCAAGTTGTGTAATAAACTCTACTTGTGAATTGGTGGGTATCAGATGACAATCCCCAACCCCACTTACTGTAATTGATCTTATTAACTTTCAACACAGCGCCAGTCCTGCTAATTGGCCTATTGATTAGCATGATAACATAATGGCACTGTAGCTATCTTCCATTACATACGATTTGCATGGGTGTGCTGTTCATAGAGCGCTTGTGTTGTTGTGGACAGTTGGATGACCATTAATAATCTTGGTTCTTTCTTGGCGTGAAAAATATGAACAATTTTTGTTAGTTTCCTGCAACTCAACTAATGCCACTAGGAAGCCTGAGTTTCATGAAACAGTGGCAAATATTGATAAAAAATAGTCCCTATTATTATCGGCAAGAATTCTTCCCTTTAAGTGTATCACTTCTAAATGCCCTTCAAAGACCATATTATTATCACTGAACAGTGAAAAGCACTGGCAATTATGTCAAGGCACCATTTCAGGCAAGTAGACCAAAACATTTGGAACAGAATGTAAAACTATGCACTTTTGTTTACATTGGTTATATTATATCCAATATTGATTCCCTTGACAATTACAGAATCTATCCAAATGTTTGAACTATTTCCTGTCATAAAGGAGTAATAATGTAACACAAAGAAATAATAGAAGAGATTTTCTTCCCATGGTATGAAAAACTTCAGATATCACTGACTTTACATTAGACATGAAGACAATGTCCCTGCTGGTATCACGCCCTAAAGTGCCATAATACCGATCATATTTAACACGTGGCTGACAAACATAACTGTAAAACTGAACGTGCCAGTGTCATTACATAATCACATGATAACAGCCTGAAAACCACGTTCTTTCTCACAAATACTAATTGCACATGTGTCCATGGTTGATATAATTGAAATTCTTGTGTATTAAACTGTCACAAAGCATTGTCTGGTGTATAAAAATGTACAGGAGAATGACCTATGTGACAGTTGTTCGGATACTACTGCGACCACTGCCAAAATCACTGATGCAAATCCACAGTTCACCTGCTCCGCTTACACAACAGATTACCGTGATACGGTTCACAGGCGACTCACCATTACACCAAAAGGTCATGATAAATTTCATGACACAACGTTAACACGAACTGACATTTCAAGATTTTATTAAATCCCCAAGGACTACAGTTGACACTGACAGCCTACACACAAACAAAGACCCCCTTGGCCAGGGCAGGTGCCCGTTGAGGTTTCTATCTCACCTTGTTGTACTTTTCCCCTTTCAGGGAGCGTGTCCGACCCCTGTCTTGCCTCAGCCATGTTAACAGGCTGTCGTCAGTTCATCAGCAAGTAAATCCACTCTCCGTTTGCGATCATTTTGTTCACCATTGAATCAACATGTTGTCATCGTATATCCAGCCTTTCCATCTCGCGCAAAATACAGGAAGTGACTGGAATGCTACTTCCCTAACGACGGTCATTCATAATCGCAGCGTAGACGAACGTCTGTTGAAACTGTTGTAATAACTATTGGTCATTGTGGTACATTTGCTTTGTCTGCCGAAAAGTCACTTTAGTTTCTGAATTTTGGTTTTGCATCTTATGAACGAGTGACCAACATTGGCAACAAGGACATTAATACAAAGCAACGAAGCAACTGAGAGCCGCGATGAGGAAAGGCAGTCAATCTACAAAACTTGGTGTGATTTGGTACGTGAAACACATCTTATGAATGTTGAACAAAACGACTCAATATCCCAGGTACTTCACAGCTAGTGAGTGAGTGAGTGAATAACTCTGCTGACAACAGTATTCCAGTTATATCATGACGTGTCGGCTTAATGGAGGAAAGCCCTAAGTGAAGAAAGTCTTAGAAGATTACCACTCGAAACATACGAGCAATGATAAAATCGGGGTGAAACTGGATTCGAACCCGAAAGACTTTATTAATCCTCATACAAGTGACACCTGTTCAGATTTTCCTGAAACTGAAGAGCTTCTTTCAGGGAAATTACGATTGCAGAAATAGATGGTGCTATAAATTACCTAAAGAGCGGAAAAGCTCCAGGAGAAGATGGACTACCTGAAGTGTTCCAGTGACGTGCTCATATATTATGTTCATGTTTTATTTAATAAGATATTTGAATCTGGAAACTTCCCTACAGCTTGGAATATAGGTATGATTGTTACACTCCATAAGTCAGGAGATAAGTCAGACCCTAATAATTACCGAGGGATTTCTATATTGAACGTTATGGGAAAAATATTTACAACAGTCTTAGAAAAACGTTTGAGGGCTTGGATAGAACTGAACGACTTAATATCCGAAGCCCAAGCTGGCTTTAGATCTAGTTACTCTACCACCGACAATATATTCAATCTACAAGTTGTGCAAACAACGTGGTCGGTTTTACTGTGTATTTATTGACTTTAAGAAGGCCTTTGACTATGTAGACAGAAACAAGTTACTATTTAAATTGGCACTAAAGGGTTGTCATGAGAAAATGTTAAATATACTTCAGAATATGTATTCTTCAGTTAAATCATGTGTGAGACCAAACTAAAAAAGAACGAGTAACTTTACCACATCAGCAGAAGTTCGACAAGGATGTGTTCTTAGTCCTATACTTTTCACCTTTTTCATAAAGGAGCTTGTGACTGAAATGTATGATAAATGTGATCACGGTATATTTGTTACACAAAATATTTATAATATAATGCTACTTTTGTTTGCCGATAATGTTACAATGTTCTCTTATACTGTTTTTGGGTTACAAAAGCAATTAAATGTGATCCAATCTTTCTGTGAAAGATGGGGATTTCAAATCAATTAAGATAAAGCCAATGTTATTGTATTCAGAAATGGAGGCATTGTTGCTAAACGTGAAAGCTTGTTTTTAAACAACATAAATCTAAAAATTATACCATATTATAAGTATCTAGGTATTCTATTTTCATCAACGTTAAATTGGGCAAAAGCATGCCAAACGCTAGCAGCTCAAGCTTCACGTGCAATATAATAATGCCTCTGTTCACATTATTTCGAAAAAATAGTTGCATATCCTTTCTAGCGGCTTGTAAAATATTTGATAGCAAAGTTTCACCAATTTTACTGTATGGGTCTGAAATATGGGGGGACAAGATACTTTGAAGTTATAGAAACGTTCACACACAGTATCTAAAACGTTTCTTACAGGTTGGCAAATTCGCATCCAATAAGGCTATACTTGGCGAAACAGGGCGCCACATGATGTTTGTTTCAACACAGATAAGGGTTATATAATACTGGATTAAAATACTTCATATTATATGTTTTTGGATATCCATACCAATGCTATATAATGCTAAAAAAATTAGATGATGCTGGAGAGCAAAACCGGGTGTCAAATCTAAGAAATTTGCTATTTTACACAGGTTTTATCCACGTTTGGTATCACAAAGTGTGGATGTCCCTCGGATAGGCCTTTGCTAAGAACCTTATGTAAATTTAGAATATCTCTTCATGATTTTAATATTAATCACCTACGTAGAAACAAAAGTAAACATGTATATAAATCACTCTGTTTGCAATGTGATCTTAACGTTATAGAGGACGAGTTCCACGTCCTGTTTATTTGTAAAAAGTATCATGACCTGAGATTAAAATATCTCCCAAGCCTATCTAATATATTCAGTGAAACTGTTGTGTCATATGTTAAATACAAATAATGAGGATAATTTACGAGCACTCGTCATTTTTCTTAAAAATGTATTTCTGTTGAAATGTAAATAGAAATATTGCTGTATTGTTCACCACGTGGCATGTGTTCTAAGCTATAAGGCCGAAATACTGAATAAATATATATCATACAACTAGATACACCTCTGCGTGTCACGTGAAACCTATCCTCATCATCACAACCACACCACGCACAAGTAAGTGTTAAAGGGCCGACCATTCTGTGCTAAGACGTATTCTTATATCATCACCGGTTAATCACTTGCATCTAATACCCTATACTAAAATACCTAATACGTTAGGGTAGCTATTGGTTAATGTGTTTGCTTGAAGACCCGGGTTCCATTCACCAGATGGGTGCAATGTGTGAAGTCCATTTCTGTTGTCCTTCGCTAAAAGCGGCGCAAAACCATACTCACTCACACCCTCAAACCTTGGAGTGAGTGAGTGAGTGAGTTTAGTTAAACATATCACTCAGCAATATTCCAGCTATAGGGCGGCGGTCTGTAAATAATCGAGTCTTGACCAGACAATCCAGTGATCAACAGCAGGAGCATTGATCTGCGCAATTGGGATACGATGACAGGTGTCAACCAAGTCAGCGACCCTGTCCACCCGATCCCGTTAGTCTCCTCTTACGACAAGCATGGGTTACTGAAGATCAATATTCTAACCCGGACCTTCACGGGTTCAAACCTTGGACGTAGAGTCATCAACAACCCATTCTTGTCGTTAGAGACAAACGATATCTGTCGGATGGGTTTGTTGACTTGGTTGAAGCATGTAATTGAATCCAAACAGTGTAGACCGATGCTTGGGATGTTAATCACTGGATTGTCTGCTACAGATTCGATTATTTACTGATCGCCGTCGCGTAGCTAGAATATTGCTGAATGTGACATTAAATAAACAAAAACAACTTAAACTAATAGACGAGGAGGTTTGTTAACAGAGAATATCAGTTACAAGAAGTCGCCTTCACATATTATGAAGTGTAGTACTCCACTACGACAGAAACACTTTCACATTCAACATTATCAATACGTAAATAAAACAGACAATATAAATACTTAATATATGTCGACTTACACAAATAGCTGGATAAAGACAAGTGTTGATTTTGAATCCGGTAATTAATCCGTAGTTCTTAGCAGCCAACTGACGCTGCGTTCGTCGCAGTGATGATCTTAACAGGAGGGTCATGTTGTATATCCTCATCACGGGGAAACAGTCCCTTTAATCAGATTCAGTGAATTTCAAGTATTTTCCTGTTACAGTTTAACTTCAAGGTCAAAACTGTTTTATCATCTACCGCCCTGTCACCACCTACATGAAGGGTCTACCCGTAAAGATCCGGGTAGAATAGGTCTTCAGCAACTCATGTGCTTGCCATAAAAGGCGACTATGCTTGTCGTAAGAGGCGACTAACGGGATCGGGTGGTCAGTTTCGCTGACTTGGTTGACACATGTCATCGGTTCCCAATTGCGCAGATCGATGCTCATGCTGTTGATCACTGGATTGTCTGGTCCAGACTCGATTATTTACAGACCGCCGCCATATAGCTGGGATATTGCTGAGTGCGGCGTTAAAACTAAACTCACTCACTCACTTACATGAAGGGTCTGTGCAGTAGCCCAGTGGTTATAGCGTTCCCTCCGAGGCTTCGGTTCGAGTCTGGATACAGGCACAACATGTGAAGACCATTCCCTGTCGCGATGTTGCTGGAATGCTACCAAAAGCGGCGTAAAATAAACGCCCTCACCCAAGTGCCTGAAAGCGGCGTCTCAGACATACATGCGGGCTTGCGAAGGAATACTTCTACGCCAAAGGGATCCAGGCACTCCAGCATCGTTGACAGTGACGACGCCGTTGGGGATCATGTCAATATAACCAGCAATCAACTCATCACAGCAGTCTATCAAAGTAGTCCCTCACATCTCGGCTGAGAACGTTTGAATCGCCCCTCGTATATACAGGCAAACCTCGCTTATAGGTACACATGCATTTTCTCAACCGTTAGTTGAGAGGCGGAAACATCAAATGTTACATATTGCATAAGATTACCCGAGTATTATGCGCATTATTAAATATAACACTGTATCTATTCACCGAATTTATTTGAACCAACGGGGAATATTAAAAAGAGATATTACTAGTCGCGATATTAAAATGTATTTCCGGTCTACTTTGGTATTGATTTTGTAGGAAAGGATTAGGACTACGTGTGAATGTTCTGGTAAACACAGCCGGAAATAACTGTCAGCTGTACGCGTTTTTGCTCATTTTATCGTTGATTCAGTTAAGATATAGAGGATATTTTGTTAATGTTGTCAGATAACATATCAACTTTGTCAGATATCACTAAATGAAATATTATTTGACATTAACAAAATATTCTATTTATTATATTTTGATCATCGTTTATAAATAATCGAGACATCGAGTAAGTCTGCATTTTATTACGCAACCCAGTTGTAGTTTCAGGCAAAAGTGATATTCAACTCAGTGAAATAACATGTTATTATACTCAGTGAAAATACAGTATTATCTCCAATATTTACTGTATTTCATCCTTAAGAATATAATAAATACGCAATAATATAAAACGAGTACTTTTGATGCAGTGTCTGGAATAAATTGTACCAGAAACCATTATTATATCAGGAATAATATATTTCAACATTGTGTTGTTTTCGTTTTAGCATTTATCATAG